CGGCCGCCGACAAAGCTGCGCGTTGGTCGTCCTTCTCTCTCCCACTCGTTAACTGTGAGAGCGACGCGAGGAGACGCGTTCGTATCACGCACCACAAAAAAAAAGAGCGACAGGGGAAAAGAGAACATGGGATTTTCAAGAGGCTCCGCGTCTTTAAGACAAGAACATTTGCTAGGGATGCGTGAGCACGAGCACTGCGAAAAGTCTACACGATATTCATTACACTCCAAAAAGCGATTGTATTTGGGGACACCTTGTGTCTTGATAGGCGAGAGCAGAGTCGTCTGTCTGTGTCGAAGCGCCCATACAGGAGGGTGGCCGTTTTGCCCCGTTGAAGCAATTGGGCATACTAGCCCGGATCCAGGAGTGCGGCCGGGTTGCCTGTTCGCACGGCGCCCCGAGGCGCTGTGGGCGGGCGGGCGGTCCAAACTCTGTGGTAAGATTCGATAGGCAAACCCGGCCGCGCGAGCGTTATGGATCCAACGGGGCAAAACGGCCACCACCGTGTAGACGACACCGAGGCGGGGGGCGGGTGATTCCAGCAAACGCTCAGCTCCGCCCCGCCCCGTTGTTCGAGGTCGCGATCCTTTCGACCATCGCACCTCGCATGCCGCGGTTGTTCCCGGGCCGTTCCCATGGCAGGGAGCGCCACGCCACGACGGAGTCTAGAGTGTCGCTCCTGCGCGAGGACAACGAGTGAGTGACATCGGATACACGGGAGCAGGGGAGGTCAATAGCATGCACGACAACACGGCGGCGTTGGCTCTCGTATGGATCAAATGAAAAACAAATCATGCCAAAAAAACCGATTTTGAGAGAGAGAGAACTCACTTTAATCAGCCTCTTTTTAGAAAATGACACATTTAACATTGGCACTGGCTCCTTTTTACCCAGGCGAGTCGCATCTGCTCAATGGGGGGAGGAGGACTCCCAGACTCCATCGCAGCGCCGCACGGGACGACGGTGTGGGGCTGGACCAGCTGCTGACGTCATCGACTATGCAAAAGCACAAAGATGGAATAATAAAACAGGAAGAAGAAGAGGGGGGGGGGTTAACGGAACATCCCGTTCACTTCGTTTTTATTATCATGTTTTCTTCTTCTAAAAGGCTATTATATTTACGTGCGGACGCGCGAGACGAGGTCGTGCGTGAGGGGAGCGGTGGGGAGGGGAAGGGGGCGATGCCGTAGCCTGTTTCCTTTTATTCGCGGCAAAGTTGCGAAATCCGACGCGCGCGACACAAGGCGCGAGTTGGGAGAAGAAACAAGAGTAATGCAGCGAGAGAGGGACGGAGAAAGGGAGAGAGACAGAGAGAGAGGGGGGTAGGGGGTAGGGGACGTTGACCACTGACCGCACCGTTGAAGGTCATGTGCGGAGCCCCTACTGCCGTCTGATGTC